GGCTCATGTATATAGTCACCTAATGATATTGCCACTTAAATGTCAAATAGGTATCTGTAGTGCACTGTATTATTGTTCCAAAGTTTTTGCCTTTTCCAGTCCTAGATATTTAACCCTGGTCTGCTGATGTGAGAGTTGGCCATGTGACTTGCTGTGATCAAGACATAGGAGCAGAAGTGACTTGTGCTAGTCCTGAGAAGCCATCAGGGCTATCATGTGGCTCCAGTGCACTCTGTCTTCCCTCTGTTCTGACACCAGAACCATCCCTGCTCCCTCACCTTGGGTCACGGGATGAGGTCCGCACAGCCAGAGTCAACATGCAACAGACACACGTGTCAGTAAAAAATAAACCTTTGTTTTAAGGCATGAAAATTTCTGGAGTTGCTTACTGCAACAGACTTAGTCTAAAGAGACTGAGCTAGCATCTCAAGTTAGCCTGGTCTTCCCTGCTCCCAAGCCTGCTCTTCCAGAGTTTTCCATTTTAGTAATCATGGGCTTCAACCTTCCCATTTTCAGACTAAGAACCTCTGAGTTGTTCTTAATTACACTTGGTATCTCATACTCCACATGTAGACACTGGGGATACTTTGATGAACTAAAAACCGACAAAAAATGATAAAAATTCCTGTTGAGATTACATTCAATGAGGATGAAACAGACAATAATAAAGAACCACAGTGGGCGCCTGGGTGGCTCAGTGGGTTAAAGCCTCTGCCTTCGGCTCAGGTCATGGTCCCGGGGTCCTGGGATCGAGCCCTGCATCGGGCTCTCTGCTCAGCAGGGAGCCTGCTTCCTCCTCTCTCTCTGCCTGTCTCTCTGCCTACTTGTGATCTCTGTCTGTCAAATAAATAGGAGAAATCTTAAAAAATTAAAAAAAAAAAGAACCACAGTAAGTTAATGATGTAATAAACACTTATATATATAATAATATTACCATGTAACATTAAATATTTAAACATAAGTATCTAGAAGAGAATAGGTGCAATAAAAACAAGGGGAAGGGAGAGCTAGGGGTGAGAATGAGGGGGTAGGTTGACAAGGTGGTCAGAATTGACTCCTCTGGGGAAGAAACATTTAAGCAAACACCTGAAGGTAAGAGGAGAAATCTGCATGGCTAGTAATAGAAAGTGTATTCTAGGCAGAGGGACAACCAGGGTAGAAGCCCAGGTGTGGGCACAAGCCTGGCTGGCATAAGCAACAAGGAGTCTGGTGTGGCTGGAGCAGAGTAAGCCATGAAAGTGGCAGTCGCTGATGTCAGAATGGAAGGAGGTGGGTAGGTGGTATACAATGTCAAGACTTATGGGTCCTAATAGCTAAGTCCTTTGGCTTTTACTTTCAGTAAGATACAGAACCACTGGAGGATGCTGAACAGAGGAGAGATGTGATCTGATTTACATTTTTAAAGGATCACTCTGGCTGCTGTGTTAAGACTACATGGTAAAGGGAGTGGGAAGAAGCTGAAGGAGGAAGACTAGTTAGGTTACTGAATAATTCACATGAGAGGTGATGGTAGCTCAGTCAAGGTTGACAGTGGTGATGAGATCAGATTCTGGATGTACTTTAAATTTCCTGATGGATTGGATATGAAGAGTTAAGGGGGAGCATCAAATATGATCTCAAAATTTGTCCTCAGTAGATGGCAGAACAGAATTTTCCCTCAAGTAAGATGGTAGAAGGTTTTGGGAGGGGAAAAAGAGCTTTCCCCATAGCCTAGTTTCAGACATAACATCTGGTAGATACATGTGTGGGGTGGTTGAATCGGCAGTTTGTTCAGGAAAGAGGTCTATCCTAGAGATTTAAATTTGGGAGTCACTGGCATATATGTGCTCAAAGCCACAAACTATGTGAGATTACCAAGAGAGTGAGTTTAGCTGAAGGAAAGAATCTTACCAAATATGTGTATCTTTCTGTATGTCAGGGCGAGAGATAAGTGGGGAAGGGAAGGGAGGAGGGAGAAGAGGAAATGGCTTTACAAACCCTCAGTCTGTGTTCGACTGGAGCACTGAAGCTTCTGAATTTAAATTAAAGTAAAACATCTGATCCCTTAAATTGTTTTACATACCATCATTACCTATTGGAAATAACTGTTAACATTTGTCGAGAGTTTTGTGCCAGGCTGCCAGGCTTCAGTTCTCAAAATAATATGTGCAGTAAGCATTGTTATTGTCCTCATTTTATAGATGAAGAAACAGCCTTGACACAGAAAGATAAATACTTTAGCTCAAATTTTCACAGATCGTAAGCTGTAGAGTTGTCGGACTCCAGAGCACGCCTGAAGCAGGGCTGCTACCGGCCCATATGGTGCCCTGGTGAAATCAGAAAACATTCCATTTTGCAAGTAAAATGTAGTTTGTGTCACAAGACCCAAATGACGGTTTCCCAGAAGAGCTAACTAGAGGACCAATAGGTAGCAGCTCTGCCTGTGTGTGCACACAACTGCCCAGGCTTTTGCTTGATCCCACACCACTACTTCAGACAAGTTTTAAATAGTTTGTGTTGCTTCTCCCACTTCCATGATAGACAATGATATCAAATTCAAAGTTGGTGAATGGGAAACAAGTCTTTGAAAGTGCCAGGCAAGTGAGGGACCAATCACAGGTGTCACTAGGATTGTAGTCAGGACAGGTACAACTTGTGCAAATGTGCACCAATATGTAGGTGAATGAATGGTCTCTGGAGTGTGTGCATGTGGTCACACATACCAAATGTGGGTTCTTGGGGCGCCTGGGTGGCTCAGTGGGTTAAAGCCTCTGCCTTTGGCTCAGGTCATGATCCCAGGGTGCTGGGATCGAGCCCCACATCGGGCTCTCTGCTCAGCAGGGAGCCTGCTTCCTCCTCTCGCTCTCTCTGCCTGCCTCTCTGCCTACTTGTGATCTCTATCAAATAAATAAATAAAATCTTAAAAAAAAAAGATTTATAAAATGTGGGTTCTTGTAGGAGTTAGCTCTTCACTGCTCCAGAACTCTTAGGCCTGCCTGTGACTTTATGTAAGGTAATGTTTATGTACAATGTAAATTAGCATATTCTTACTTACAGTGTTCTTCTACAGTGTGTGACCTGAACAGTTCCATGCACGCAGCAACCTTATTCCTTTTTTTTTTTTTTTTTTTATTTTTTTTTAAAGATTTTATTTATTTATTTGTCAGGGACAGAGGGACAGAGAGCGAGCGAGCACAGGGAGAAGCAGGTTCCCTGCCGAGCAAGGAGCCCGATGTGGGACTCGATCCCAGGACACTGGGATCATGACCTGAGCCAAAGGCAGCCGCTTAACCAACTGAGCCACCCAGGCGTCCCGCAACCTTATTCCTAATGATTCTTTTATTCATCAGACAACTGTTGAGGATCTACCTACATGCAAAGCGCTGTATGAGGCACTACAGTAGGTTCAAAGACACCCATTCTTTACCAAGGAACATGATTTCTAGTTAGAAATATATGCACGTAAATAGTATAGAATACAAAGCATTAAGTTTTACAAGAGAAGTACTGAAAAACTACTCTGTGAATTCACAAGAGGAAGTACTTATTTCAGTTTGGTTAATCTAAAAAAAAATGTCATGAAGTTGAGAGAAGTTGAGGAGTGGTTTGGAAGGTGGATTTGGATGTGCAGAGATGGAAACAAAGATATTTCAGAAGGAACAGCGTAGATTTAAAAAGTCACATGGTATCTGTACTACAGTGCACAGAAATAGTGGATAGTTAGGCAAAGTAACTTACTGATTCTGAACCCTGCCTTGGATTCCCAACGGGGTACAAAGCTATTATAGTGGTCTCCCACACCACTGGCAAAGAGCAAGATGAATGAAAAATGTCTTGAACACCTATGTACAACTACTTTAAAAATATATAAATGCTTTCAATTAATACAATAGAAATCATTCAAAAACAGGACTGAATTAGCAATAGGACTTTGTTATTAGGTATTTTCTAAGTCAACAAATAACAAGGATACTATAATGAGGTAGTTTAAGAAATTTTTCAGTGTTAAAAAAAGAGTTCTGTGTTCAAAAAGGCTGGTGGGTTCTGGAGTTAGACAAACCTTTTTCTTAGTTTGTTTCTTCATCTCTGTAATGAGGATTGTAAAACCAACCTTGTTTGGTTGAGCAAATACATGTTACACTTTAGGTGTTCAGCAAATACCAAGTATTATAAAATGAAAAGCTGCGGTCAAATCAGAGTCCACCACCAATACCAAGTTAACTGAGACTTTTTCTTTTGGGCGCGATAGTTACTTAAGGGTTTTCGAGTGACAACAGAGTCAAGGAGGGAAACCGGTTACTACAGTGGTTGAGGCGTTGAAGCACGAGCAACGAATTCGTGGAATATTACAGACTATAAACTTAACGACTCCGCGTTTACCTGTAATGTGAGATAAAGGCCACTATTTTGAACTAGCTAATGCTTTCAACAACAAAGAAAAGAGATATGAAGTTCAGCTTTGGATATTTTGAGCTTATGGACCTAAAACTGTCGTGGCTGAAAATGTACACACGAAACATCAAACATAATCTATGTTGAAAAGAATGCTCTAGAAATTGTGCTCATTCTCTATTAAAACCTATGAATTAAAAAAAAAAACAAACTTTTTTTTTAACAACACAATACACTCCTGGGAGATACTAACTTGCAGCTTGAGAAAAGACCTCCAGCATACCCACCAACTTCCACTTGGCCGGACACTAGGGCGCGCCGGTGATGTCACCGCGACGGTGCACGCTCCTACGTCTCGAAGGACGTGGTGCGTCATTACCAAGGAGACGCAGGTGGCGGAGCGACTTCCGTAAGCCCCCGCCAGCTCCTCCAGGTCGCGCCCACGTGCGTACTCGCGCTTCCCCTTCCTGGCCTCTGGCTGTGAGGCGGGTCGCATCGTCGCCCTTACTCTACTGTCAGACTGATCTGCGCATGCGCCCAAAAAAAAAAAAAAATCCCTGCCCTTCCCAGCGGCAGGCGGAGGGCGACACCTCCAGGTAAAAGTGAGGCGTTGCAGGAGGCGGACTAAGCCCAGGTCGAGCGGCGCGAGAGCAGTCAAGGTTCCTGTCCACCTTGAGGGGGCTAGGATGGCTGAGGAGTCGATGCGCGGTAGAGTCGAATCCGAGGCTGGTTTTGAGGCAGTGAAGCCTGAAGAATCTAAGGTGTCTTCACCGAAGACTGCCGATGTTGTCGCAACGTCATCGAAGGCGGAGGACTACAGTAGCAAGTGCGTGTTCTGCCGGATCGCGGCGAAGCAGGAACCCGGCACCGAGCTCCTGTACTGCGAGGTGGGCTGCGTGCGGACCGGGCGTGGGACGGGGCAGGGACGCAGGCCTCGCGCCGTGGCGGACCGTGGTGGGGTCGTGTCAGGCCCCCGGGAGGGAGACCTCGCAGGTGTGGACCGTAGTGGGGCAGGTGGGGTGTCCTGGTGTTAATGACGGATTTGCTTCTCGCGACTGGGGTCTGTCTCCAGCATTATTATTGCTGTGCCGAGGGGGGGTGGGGAGCGGGGGGACAATGTAGCGATAAAGCCAGACACTTGGGCTTCTGTCTGCAGGTACGAGGTATTTGGCAGAAAATAGCATTTGTCGCCTGTTGTTATTGGAGGGATTCCTCCGCCCACCCCCTCATCCCCACCCCCTGCGCTTCTCGACGCTGCTTTTCAATTCTGCACACTAATTCTGCTACTGAGGAGAACTGGTAGAAAGGAGATGATGGTATTAGGGAAAAGCTTCGTTGAACTAACAGAAGTTAGGCGGGGGTGGAGCCGAGGTCAAACTATTTCTTAATGAGCCCCAGATTTCCACTGAAGGGTAAAGTTCGCACAGGCGTTGTCAGTTGGGATGTATGCACATTTTCAGAGCACTGAGATTTTGCTCAGGTACTTGAAAACAGGTATCTGGAAATCATTTTCATCTGCTGGTTCTACTTGCCTTTAAAGAAACAGCCTTTGGAGAGGATCAGATCCAAAGATTCTGGTTTTTTGTTTGTTTGTTTTGTTTGTTTTTTTTAGTTGTTAGTAATCATTAATTCATTTGAATTTAATCTGTTCTAACCACCTAGTGTTGGAGACAAAGGTAAGAATTTATGGCTAGAGAGACGACTGAAGTGATAGACCTTGAAATCTGTGCTTGAATAGGGGAAGGAGTGAAGATAGGAAGCGGTTGATAGGGAGAGGGGTGAGTACATCAGTTGTCTGTAGAGAGGCCTCTGCTGAACTGAGCCAGAGTCAAGATTTAACCACATAAAAAAATATGCACATAGGGGCGCCTGGGTGGCTCAGTTAAAGGTTAAAGCCTCTGCCTTTGGCTTAGGTCATGATCTTGGGGTCCTGGAATCGAGCCCCGCATTGGGCTCTCTGCTCGTCAGGGAGCCTGCTTCCCTTCCTCTCTCTCTTTCTCTGCCTGCCTCTCTGCCTACTGTGATCTCTGTCAAAAAAAAAAAAAAAAAAAAAAAAATTATGCACACTGCAGTACCAATGTTGAGGAAAACTAGTAAATATTAGCTACTAATAATGTAAAAAGTTTTGTCTAAAAATAGTCATGGAGGGGGGCACCTGGGTGGCCCAGTCCTTAAGTGTTTGCCTCTTGCTCGGATCTTGATCCCAGGGTTCTGGGATTGAGTCTTGCTTTGGGCTTCTTGGTCAGCTGTGAGTCTCCTTTCTCCCTCCCCTTACCCTGGGCTCATGATCCATCTCTCTCTCTCTCTTTTTCAAATAAATAAATTATCTTAGGAAAAAAGTAAATTAATTTTTAAAAATAAAAAATAAGAACGGTCACCCGTAGGGGTTGGGATGGTCCAGAATTCTGTCGTGGTTTTTCCAGGCCAAAGGTCAGGATTTTTTCCTCTATTAAGAACATTCTCAGAGTGAACTATGTGAAAAGCCTGGAACATTTTTATAGGGGAAATTAGACACATTAAATACTTTTAACTAACTTATACCCTACATAGGTGGCATAGGATGAATATATACAGTAGTCCATGTAATACAGAACATAAGCAAGATGCACATGCTTGTACAACATGCCTCAAAAAGTTTCAGATCTTCTTTAAATTGAATCTAAGATGATTTCGTATATAAGAGCTCAAAGATTTATTTTTTCAAAAAGAGAATCTAATCTTTGTGTATTTTGCAATATATATATAGTCTATTCTTATATTCATTCATATATGTTCATTGTAAATATTTAGAAACTATTGGGTTTATATAAAGTAGGGTAGACTTATAATTAAGTCCAGAGGAGAAAATGTGATTTGGAATAATTGGAGTTACCAGCATCATGTGGGTTTAGTCTGGGAAATCTTTCTGGCAAAAGCTAGAGAAGACTCCTCACTCCATAAGCATCTGTATAGTGTATTTGTGCTGTATACTGCAGAGTTGAAACTAAGCTAATACTAGGCCATGCATTCTCAGAGAGGGATAAAAGTTGGTTTTGGGATGACAGTATCTTACTCTTTGTGTGTGAGGCAAAAGTAAACATAGTGGACATAAACAGATAAAGAGTATGTCTGTGGCATTAAAATATCATGAGAGTGGAACCGGGAAAAAGAGTCTTAAGAATGTCTTCCGAGGGGTGACAGTGAAAACATGGTTGAGAAATACCAGGCTCGATGTTTATTTTCACCTTGCTTGAGGCCACACAGAGGAAATACTAGTTTAACTTTAATGTCCTCGCTCTTCTTTAACCAGAGTTGCCCTCCACTTAGATGGGGTGGTACTGAAATGTTCTTCCAAACGTTACTTACTTGCTTTAGATATCAGTGGGTTTAGTTGCAGAAAGAAAAACTCGCTATTTAAAGCAGAAATGGATTTAATATAGGGAGTTATTTGCTAAAAAAGTCATTGCAAGGGTTGAGGGAAAAGCCTTCAAGAATGACATCCAGGAGGTGCATGGGTGGCTCAGTCTGTTAAGCATCTGCCTTTGGCTCAGGTCATGATCCCAGGGTCCTGGAATGAAGTACTGAACTGGGCTCCCTGCTCAGTGGGGAGCCTGCTTCTCTCTCTTCCTCTCCCTCTGCCTGCCACTCCACCCGTTTGTGCTCACCCTCTCCGGCAAATAAATAAAAATATATTTTTAATTTAATTTTATTATTTTTTAGAGAGAGAGAGGGAGAGCACACGCACATGCACATGCATGTGGGACTTGTTCCCAGGACCCTGGGATCATGACCTGAGCTGAAAGCAGATGCTCAACCACTGAACCACCCAGGTGTCCTTAAATAAAAATCTAAATAAATAAATAAATAAATAAAATGACATCCTGAACAGCACTTGCATGGTGAGGACCCGTTTCCTCTGCCACAGCCAGGAAATTAGGAGTCAGGTGACTGCCATTGGAACTTAGACTTCAGGAAGATGTCTCTGTAGATGTGACTCAGAGTCGAGGAAACAGTGTGACCGCCACTGTTGAGGAATTTGAGGTTGGATTCTGCTTTGTTGCTCAGGCTGTTTCACCTATTGTAGGATGTTTCCCATTTCTGACCTCTGGGCACTAAATGCTTGCGGCACCTACATATTTCTACTTTGACAAATAACAGGTTCAGAGCTACGCTGTACCTCCTGGGTCTGCACTGGTAGGTCATGGCACCAGAAAAGTGGGTGTCTCATGTCTGTCTCTTGACTAGCAATTGACCAGACATTGGAATGGGGGCAGGGGAGAAAGAAAAAATAATCTCGGTATCCTTAGAGCTGAGCATGTTTGCCTGGTGGAACTAGCGGAAGCTGCAGAAAGATGGCTTTTTCCTCAGGTTACCTTGTCAAAGCACTGAAGTCTGAAGTACATCTAGTTTGCAAGATCTAAATTCCATCTGGGGTTTTAGCTTTTTAAATTTCTGCAGTACTAAAGACACAGAAGTATTTGGAATGGGGGTTGAGTGCCCATCCACCCTTTTTACCATAGTTTATCATATTTAATAGATGCTAAGCCAAGATGCTTGGATTCAGTGCTGATAATGAAGATGGACTAGCTGTTGTCTAATCCATGCATTCTCAAAAGGGGTAAAAATTGATGTTCTTGGCTGGGGCAGGAGCAGGGGCAAAAAAAAGTGTATTATTTATATATATATAAAATGTATGTATAGCACTTAGGATAGAAATACATGTTCAATTTGGCTGTGGTATTAAAATATCCAGGGGGAGGGCAGCCATTAGGGGAAAAAAAATCTAAAAAGTTTTCTTAGGGGGATGGTAATGAAAAAAGACTGAGAAACACTGTTAAAATCAAACAGTGGCCATGATTCCAACTTTAAGAATGTATTTTGGGGACACCTGGGTGGCTCAGTGGGTTAAGCCTCTGCCTTGGGCTCAGGTCATGATCTCAGGATCCTGGGATCGAGCCCTGCATAGGGCTCCCTCTCTCTCGGCCTGCTGCTCTGCCTACTTGTGATCTTTCTCTCTGTCAAATAAATAAATAAAATCTTAAAAAATTGTGTTTTGGAGGACAGACTGAAAGATCTTGGAAAGTAGTAAAAACTATAATGACACCATTTTTTTTTAAAGGAGCAGAGAAGGAAGCATTGGTAGCTTTATTTTTCTACTTAAGCATCTTTTATTTATTAAGCAATCTTTCAAGTTTCAAGTGAATATGTTATTCACTTGCAGTTCAAGGATAATTATGGCATGTTCACACTTGAGAAGTTTGCTTCTGATCTGCATTGAAAGCATAAATGAAAAGTTTTCATTTAGTGAAAAGTTTTCATTTACTTATCATTAAGGATGGGTAGTCAAAATTCTGTGTTTTAAAGTAACTTGTAATATCTTTTCTTTGGGGGTGCCTGGGTAGTTTACTTGGTTAAGCATCTGCCTTCAGCTCAGGTCATGGTCCCTGGATCCTGAGAGCTCCCCTGCTTGGGCTCCTTGCTCCGAGGAGAAATCTGCTTCTCCCTCTCCTTCTGCCCGTCCCCCCCCCAACTCGTGCGCTCGCTCTCTCATGCGCTCTAGTTCTGTCTCTCTCAAATAAATAAAATATTAAAAAAAAGAAATGTCTTTTCTTTATGTAGTTATGTTATAAAGGTGACAGATAGTTTCTTTTTTTTTTCATTTCTGTTTGTTTTCAATTCATAGGGATTATTTTGAAGTCCAGAAGAGTATTAAATATTCATGTTTTTAATGTCAGAATTGTAAAGCTAAGTACATTTGGAAAAGTCTAGCATCCATTCTCTTATCATCTTTACCCTGTTCCTCTTCCCTCACAAGAAACTGAAAAATATATTTTTAGTTTATCCTTCCATTGTGAGAATTTGTATGTGTATGTTTATATTTGTACTCCCTTTTTTTATATAAAAGATGGCCTTACCACACTCTCCTGCTCCTTAATTTTTTTTAACTTCAAAGTACATTTCAGAAATGATTTTTAAGTATATAAAGATCTTCATTCCTATATTTTATAGCTACATAGTACTTCATTGTATGTATTTGCTATAATTTATTCAGCTAGTCTCCTATTTGAATTTTGGACCTTTGGGTTATTTTCATTTTTTTGCTATTACAAATCATGCTGCAAAGGATAGCTTTGTACATGTATCATTTCATATTTTTTGTTGTCGTATCATTGGAATAGGAGAAAGTCTGTCTTAAAATGAAGAGTCTAAATAATGGCTAGTTCAGTAGTAGGAACAGGAAAGAGAGTAACATCAGAGGGCCAATTTCAATGTTTTAGAAAGCTTAATGAAAATCTAATTCAATCATTGATTGCATTGGCTGACTAAAATGCATAGGTTTTTCTTCACCTGTTTTGCCTCCACCCAACCTTCCTTCTAGCAGCTACCGGTTTGTTCTTAGTATAATACTCTCTCGTTCCATCTGTGTTGTTACCAATGGCAAGATCTCATCCTTTTTTATGAATGAGTAATATTTCATTGTATATGTACATCGTATCTCCTTTATTCATTCATCTATTGATGAATTCCTAGGTTGCTTTCATGTCTTGGCTATTATAAATAATGCTTCAATAAACATAGGAGTGCATACATCTTTTGGAATTAGTATTTCCATTTTCTTTGGGTAAATAAATACACAGTAGTGGAACTAGGGATCATATGGTATTTCTGTTTTTAATTTTTGAGGAATCTCCATACTGTTTTCCATAGTGGCTGCACCAGTTTGCATTCCCATCAGCAGTGCCCAGGGGTTCCCTTTTCTCCACATACATGCCAACACATATTTCCTGTCCTTTTAATACTAACATTGGACTGGTGTGAAGTTTCATCTCATTGTGTTTTTTTTTTTTTAAAGATTTTATTTGACAGAGAGAGAGATCACAAGTAGGCAGAGAGGCAGGCAGAGAGAGAGAGAGAGAGGGAAGCAGGCTCCCTCATTGTGGTTTTGATTTGGATTTCTCTGATGATGAGTGGTGTTGAGCATCTTTTCATGTGTGGTTTAGCCATTGAAAAATTTTTATATAGGATATTGAATAAGGATATTTAGGGAATATTGATTTTTCTTTTGGAAAAGCTTGAAACTCAAGTGTCAGTAGGTTGAAAGACTCCCTTTTTCATTTCTTTTCTTTTTTCCTCTCATAACTATGTGGATTATGTAAATCAGAAAACTAATATAATGCATTGGACACTTAGTGCACTATACAGGAGTTTGTTTTAGCATTTCATGGGCTTTTTATTTATTTATTTATTTATTTTTTTTTAAAGATTTTATTTATTTAACAGAGGGAGAGATCACAAGTAGGCAGAGAGGCAGGCAGAGAGGAGGAAGCAGACTCCCCGCTGAGCAGAGAGCCCTATGTGGGGCTCGATCTCAGGACCCTGAGATCATGACCCGAGCTGAAGGCAGAGGCTTAACCCACTGAGCCACTCAGGCACCCCCAAGGGCTTTTTAATGCTATAAACAGAACAAAAAAGTATTTGTGTATAAGTGCTGTAAAAAATGTATAGAAAGGCAACCTCTGGATATATGGATGCTAGATTATTTTCCTGTTTTAATTGTGGAACGTGCCACTTTGGAAAAAATTAAATGTAAAAAAACAATTTATCAAATTTGCTATGTTTCTGTAGTCAAACCTTTAAAAGTACATATTAAGAAAAACCCTTAGATAGGTAGAGATGGAGAAATATATAAAGAAAGTTTAAAAAACCTTGGGATTGTTGGTAATGAAGTTTTTTTGTTTTGTTTTGCTTTGTTTTAAAGATTTATTTATATGAGGGGGTGCCTGGGTGGCTCAGTGGGTTAAAGCCTCTGCCTTCGGCTCAGGTCATGATCTCGGGGTCCTGGGATCGAGCCCCACATCAGGCTCTCTGCTCAGCGGGGAGCCTGTTTCCCCCTCTCTGCCTACTTGTGATCTCTTTCTCTCTGTCAAATAAATAAAATCTTTTTTAAAAAAAGGATTTATTTGTATGAGAGAGAGAGCATGAGTGGGAGGGACAGAGGAAGAGGTAGAGAGAATCTCAAGCAGACTTCCCCCTCCTCGCCCCGGGAATGAAATGGACATGGGGCTCGATCAAACAACCCTGAGATCACAATACTGAGATTACAATCTGAGCAAAACGAGGAGTGGGACACTTAACCCACTGAGCCACCCAGGCACCCTTTTGGTAATGACGTCTTATTGAAGGTCATTGATAATTGTTTTCCTGAAATTAGCTTTATATAAGTCTTCAACATTGCTTTATATAAGGCTTCAACATTGCTCATTGCTAACTAATGAGCATCTCATGAAGAATGCTAAAGCATGTCTTTATAAACTTAATGCACAGCTGGGATTAGTTGTGTAACATAAGTACCGTTTCCCTATCAGACTGAGATTTATGGTGTGTAAGACATGCCAGAAATTCTTTTTAAAATTAGGAAAATAGGAAATTCTTTTTAAATATTCTTTTTAAAATTATTTTTAAAAAATTCACTGACAAATGATGTTTTTTCCTTCAGAATGAAGACCTAGTTTGCTTCAAAGATATCAGACCAGCAGCACCTCATCATTATCTTGTGGTGCCAAAGAAGCATCTTGGAAACTGTAGAGAGCTGAAGAAAGATCATATAGAACTGGGTAAGATGAGGGCAGTATTTTTCACGGTTTTATCATCCTGAGTTGGCATGAGTGATAGTAGTGACAGTGACAATAAAAAGAAACAACCTAGCCAGGTGTTAACGAAAGAGGAACATTATGACTTTGTGAAACTTCTATTATGAAAAATTTCAAATATGTACAAAAATACAGAAAATAGTTTTATCTCCATGTGGTCATCACCCAAGTACCACTTTTATTAGCTTGTGGCCAGTCTTTTTCATCTATTAACCTTCTCCCACAGTGGATTTAAAGTGAATTCTAAACATCATGTTATTTAATCTTTAAAATCTCTAAAAGATAATAATGCCTCTTTATGTTTTAAAATGATGGCTTTCCTTGACTCTGAAAATGGAAGGTGCTATCAAAAATGAGACCATATTGGTACCTGTCTTGTAAGTTGCTTGTGTAGAGGTACTAACACCAAAGTTTAGTGATGAGATTTAAGCAATGACTTTTTAGCTTCTGAAAAGAAGAGTTTGAATCACGTCTCTTAGGATTATCCTATATTTTCCTACTCATGATTTCTGTGACTTACCAGTTATCATTTCCTAAGACATTTCTTAGTTCACTTCATATCTGCTTTCATAGCATTTGTCTTCAGAGCCTGGGATTAGTTTGGTTAATAATTTAAATAGCTGGGGTGCCTGAGTGGCTCAGTGGTTTAAGCCTCTGCATTCAGCTCAGATCATGGTCTCAGGGTCCTGGGATCTAGCCCCGCATCAGGCTCTCTGCTCAGTGAGGAGCCTGCCTCCCGCTCTCTCTCTGCCTTCCTCTCTGTCTACTTGTGATCTCTGTCTGAGGAGGATTTACTGAGATGTTATATTTGTCTGTCAAATAAATTAAAAAAAATAATTTAAGTAGCTGACAAGATAGGTAGATTGGGCCAGATTTTTTGGAGATGAATAAGAAATTCTTTGATGGAAAACTTTGATGTGTAGTTCATTTAGTATTTATACTATTGAATTACCAGTTTTTCAAGTGTTTCTTCTCAATATTGCAAAATTTCTTAGTCATCTGTACTTCTATGAGTACATTTCATATTTATTCCAGCAGATAAAGGCCAATATTTTTGCAATATTTAGTATCAAGCAGCAGCCATCATGCCTTAAGTATTTCCTTTTTATGTTTTTTAAGGAGGGAGAAATATGTTTGTGCTTGGTTTTCTTTTTCTAGCATTCTACTTTACTGAAAGTTTTTATAACTGTTGCAAATAAAATGTTAACCAATTTTGAAGCAGCATGGTGGGTATTTGGGATTTCATTATACTGTTCTTTCTGATCTTGTTTGTATTTTAATATTTCTGTAATAAGCTTAAAGTTTCTTGCAATTAGTATTTATATACAATCTATGAAGTTGGCAAAATAATAAGAATGTGGAAGAGCTCAATAACACCATCAAGCATTGTGATTATAATTGATATTTTTAGAACTCTGCCCAACTATAAAATCCACACTTTGTTAAGAGCACATGTTCACCAAGATAGCCCATATTCTTGGCAATAAAGTAAGTCTAAATACATTTCAAATTATTGAAATCTTGTAACATATGTTCTCTGATGACAATGGAAATAAAGTAGAAAAATAATAAAACCTGTAAATGTACTAAATATATTTAAATTAACACACTTTTTAATAATTTCCAAATAAATTTCCAAATAAATATAGACAACAATATAGAATTGATAGCAAAAATACAACATATCAAGATTTGTGTAATGTAGCCAAAGCAATACCTATGGGGAAATTTATAGCTGTATATGTTTATGTCAGAAGAGGATGTTTAAAACCAATGACCTAAGTTTCTACTTTAGGATGCTAGAAATAGGCAAGCGAATCAGACCAAAATAAGTATAAAGAAAGAAATAATAGAGTAGATAATGGTGAGATACAAAGGAGACAGTAGGTTTTGCTTCATGTATTTTGAATCTGATTTTTTTTTTAAAGATTTTATTTATTTATTTGACAGAGATCACAAGTAGGCAGAGAGGCAGGTAGAGGGAGAGAGAGGAGGAAGCAGGCTCCCGCTGAGCAGAGAACCCGATGTGGGACTCGATCCCAGGACCCTGGGATCATGACCTGAGCCGAAGGCAGAGGCTTTAACCCATTGAGCCACCCAGGCACCCCTTGAATCTGATTTTAAGTGAATCCATAATTACGATTGTCATGTCTTCTCAGTGAATTGATCCTTTTTTATCATTGTAAAATGTCCCTCTTTATCTCTGGAAATACTTTTCGAGTCTATTTTGTAGGACATGAATTTAACTACTATAACTTTCTTGTTACTTGCTGTCCACATCGGGTATCTTTTTCTATACTTTCAACCAAAGTGAATATTAATATTTAAAGACTTGAAGATAGCAATATAGTTGTATCTTACTTATTTGTTATTATTTTTTAAATGTAGTGTGAAAATCTCTGGTGTTTAATTGAATTGTTTAATTCATAATCCTTTAATGTAACTATTGATGCAGTTTGATTTAGGTGTTTTATCTTGCCATTTGTTTTCTGTTTGTTCCATTTTTTGTTGTTATTGCTCTGTTTCTTTCCTGCCTTCTTGTGGTTGATCAAATATATTTTTTGTTATTCTACTTTATTTCTTGCCTTTTTATGTATGCCTCTTCAAATTTTTTAAATGGTTGCTCTAGAGATATTAAAATACTAGTGTAATTATCATAGCCTCATTAGAGTTCACATTGTATCAATTCACGAAAAATGTAATAAACTTTGGTACACTTTGTGTTATTGTTGTCATGTATATTATATCTACATACTTTATAATATCTTGGTATTGTTAAAATTATTGCATTAAGCAATCATATGTCTTTTTTTAAATTTTTATTTATTTTTTTAAAGATTTCATTTATTTATTTGACAAGAGAGAAAGAGAGACAGTGAGAGAGGGAATACAAGCAGGGGGAGTGGGAGAAGGAGAAGCAGGCTTCCTGCTGAGCAAGGAGCCCTATGCGGGGCTCCATACCAGGACTCTGGGATCATGACATGAGCTGAAGCCAGATGCTTAATGACTGAGTCACCCAGGCGCCCCAGTCATGTATCTTTTAAAGAAATTAAGAGGGCGCCTGGGTGGCTCAGTGGGTTAAGCCTCTGCCTTCAGCTCAGGTCTTGATCTCAGCGTCCTGGGATCTAGTCCCACATCAGGCTCTCTGCTCAGCAGGGTGCCTGCTTCTCCCCCATCTCTCTCTGCCTGCCTCTCTGCCTACTTGTGATCTCTCTATGTAAAATAAATAAATAAAATCTTAGTAAATAAATAAATAAATAAAATCTTAAAAAAAAATTAAGAGAAAATATTTCTTCCATGTCTGGGATCTTGGGAATATTTTAAAAGAAAATAAGATACAGTCTTGCTTGAAGTAATGAGTTGTTTTTTTTTTTAGACCATATGGTACTGACTTTGTCATGGAAGTCTGTCATCCTCCTTGCTCAAGCCTGATTTAGAGACCTAAACATTTGCAACAATTTTATGAACTTCTTTTATAACAACCATCGTCTATAGATCCTCTCCTTCCTCCCCCTTACAAATACTTGGTTGCACCGTTTGGAAACAAAAGAGATCTCAGGTTTGCCATTGTGCTCAGGAGATTGCAGGTTACCAAATATTTTCTCATCTGGAAACGCATTCCCATTCGAAGGCCATACAGCACCAAGATAATAAAGATGCTAAGGCAGATAGAGTTCAGAAGCCAAAACAAATATATGAACATTTAGCTAGTCAGAGGTAGGCTGACATAAAGGACTATCATATCCTTAATTTGGTCTGAAAGACAAATTCAGTTTTCCTGTCTGCCTTTTTTTTTTTTTTAAAGATTTTTTATTTATTTATTTGACGGAGAGAGATCACAGTAGACAGAGAGGCAGGCAGAGAGAGAGAGAGAGAGAGAGAGGGAAGCAGGCTCCCTGCTGAGCAGAGAGCCCGATGCGGGACTCGATCCCAGGACCCCGAGATCATGACCTGAGCCGAAGGCAGTGGCTTAACCCACTGAGCCACCCAGGCACCCCCCTGTCTGCCTTTTTGATTCAAACATGTTTTTGTTTCTTACTTGGTCTCCTTATGATTAGAATTAGACCTCAATAGGATCAGACGTCCTAAGTAGTCACTTGTTAGTACTCTTCAGCAGCCGTTCAAAGTCAGCCTGCACACCGTACTTTGTGATAGCTTCAACCTTCATGTCCGTGTGGACGAGCAAACTTCTCAGTAACTTAGAACTATTAAACAGGTCTTTAAGTGTTTACCCACTGAACATGACTTTTGATTAGAAAACTTAAAATTAATTACAATTTAGTAATGTCTTCTCTGGTGTAATGTAGTTTCTTTCATTTTTTTTAGTTGAGAGCATGGTGACTGTTGGGAAAACTATTCTTGAAAGGAATAATTTCACTGACTTCAAAAATGCGAGGTATGTATACTTCCACATAGAAACCAATATATGTAGTTGGTTTTCTGAAATGTTGTTCCCTCCTGGAAAATGGGGAGGTGGCTTAAGTACAGTTTTCTTGAAAGTGAGCATACATTGTTCATTGGTAATATAAATTTAATAAATAAAACTTCTTCCTCTCATCTCTCAGCATGGGCAGACAAGTCTATTTAAGCAGTGGGTAGGTAACATAGTTACAAGTCCACCTTTCTTTGTTCGGTATGTCTATTTGTATAAAAACTGTATGTAAATTGAATTTCTTTCTTTAGAAAATATTTTATTTTATGTGATTGAAAAATATTATACTTCTAGTGTGAAATTAACTTGTATTTGTTGCCTGCTGAGCTGATCTCTGGCATTCACCAAAATTTGAGCAAAAAGCATATAATGTTCAATGTGGCAGCTATTTTACTTAATCTAAGTAGTGTGTTTTCCTTTTTAAAAGACTTTGGACTTTGTCCTGTGTGACCAGTGGTTAGATTTTGGTTAGATTTACTTCTAACATCTGACCTGGAATTTATTTTTATTTTTATTTTTATTTATTTATTTATTTATTAATTTTTTGACCTGGAATTTAAAGAGACCTGAGCTCTAATGCTTTCCATGCTACTTGTTGTGTACTGGGCTCATACTGGCTATGATATTTGAGGCATTTATGCTCTCCAAGATAATACCTGTTCTGCCTACATACAGATTCAAATAAGATTGTGTGTGTGAAAATCCTCTGAAAACTATGAAGCACTATTCAAGTGTAAGGGACAGATGGTATTTGAGACCCTTTGGCCAAAAGCAATATATTCCCTTCCCTGTCAGAGGAGTGTTTAGTAGAAGAATGAACATTGGACCAAGAGTCTCAATCCTTGCTCTATTACCGCCTGACTTTGTGACCTTGAGAAGTCTCCTACTTTTTGGATCTTGGCTTTCCCATCTTTGAAATGAAAGGATTGAATGAACCTTTGAATTGCTTCTAGCTTTTAGGTTACTTGATTCTACATTACCTGACTCCTGTTTCCCAGAAGGAAAACTCAGCCTCTTTTTCCTATAGTGGGGAAAGCTTTTCAATATGTGTTGTGTTTCTGACTCTCCTGTGTTGCTGCAATAGACCACATCTCCTATGCCCTCTTACACTCCCTTTCACTGTAGTCTTTTCTTTTTTTTTTTAAATTGAGACTCACTTACAGTTTGAGGGGGCAAATATTTCCAGGCTTTTGGCTTGAATTATTGTTACATGTGTGCCTTGCTCCACTCAGAATTTCTAAGTGGATTTGTAAAATTGTAAACCGATTTTTAAGATATAGAATCATATTTTAAAAATTCCTTAGTAGAAATTTGTTAGTAGTCAAAGGAATTCTCTTATAAATGTTTTTATAAAGCAGATGATTATGAATAACTATCATTTTACTTATTTTCAGTATTAAGCACGAAATATGAGTGATGATAATGTTTTTTAAATAATGATATAAATAATCTCACTACTGGAGGATGGGTTGATGAGGAAATGACTACTTTATTAAAGGAGAAGGCACACCATCTACTGGCTATGTCTTGGAATAAAGAAACCCTTCTACTTGAGTGTCATGTAATCTGTTTTTTAAAGAAAAAGGTGGAATTTATGCCAAACATAGTACACAGCAAACAACTTTATGCCTCAGCTATACAGTCGAAAAGTTAAAGATCTCAGAAGTGCCCGGTAACTTTTTTTAAAAGATTCATTGCAGAGCCATATCTTAGGAGAATTAAAGGTTAAAATTAATAAGGACTGAGATGATAAAACAGAATGCCAACTCAGAATTATTAAAGGATTTTCCGAGACGTTATATGCTCTTAAGCCCTTCCTTGATGAAGAGTTTGTTACTGTGAACTTCAGCACAGAAAGACAAGGAAGTGTGTACATATCGAGAAGGATATAAAGCAGTAAAAGTGATGATTGAGTGGCAATCTGTCTAGCCTAGGTAACCTATTTTGAATATCTTTAATATTTATGTGTTTTAGCGTGAAAAAATAGCTTTAAACTATTGTAGAACTGACTAGTCCACTCTCTGACCTTTCTGTTTTAGAATGGGTTTCCACATGCCGCCGTTTTGTTCCATCTCCCACTTGCACCTTCATGTGCTGGCACCTGTTGATCAACTTGGCTTCTTATCAAAATTGGTTTATAGAGTGAATTCCTATTGGTTTATCACAGTAAGTGTTATTATTTAGTAGCAGCATATAAAAATATTTACAATTGTTGTCCTTTTGGTGTAGTTCTTCTTTTCTTGGCAACAGTAGGCGCTTAACAGCTTTCGTAGGTTTGATCCTCTCCTTTAATGTCCTGCTTCACGTACCCAAAGTAGTATTTTTAATATACGGGTTTCCAGGTCATCAGACCTGTAGGAAGAGAAGTTACAGTAAAGTCTTTCCATCGCAAGCAGAGGATATGATATAGAAGAGCCGGGACATTAGCAGTTCAGAACCCAGAGTCCAGTCTGCATTGAAATTGTGGCTCCATCAGTTACTTGAGGGCCCATTTGCAAGTTACTTAAATGTTTTCAGACCCAAGTTCTTTATCTATTACCTGCCTATAAAGAATACTGCCCAGCTCTAGGGTGGATAAGAGGATTGATAAAATAATTTTTATTAAAGCAGTTAGAACTGTACCTTGCAAATAGTAAGTGCTAGTAAATATCACCTGTTGCCTCTGTTATCATCACCAACATTATTGTAGAAATTTAATTTCTGTAATTTTCTGGTTTAGAAAAGGGCTTCCCTGGTAGCATCAACTGTCAGATCTGAGGTTGAAGCCATTGAACCTAAAATATTGCAGAATTCTGCTTTGCTAGGGCAAAAGTAGAATCGAATTCAAGCTGATTACAGGCCTGTTCCCTGACAGTGAAGCCTTAGTTATTAAGTGACTGTCCTTCCAGAGCCACTTGACTAATAATTTACCAGTAACTATGTATCCGTGATGTTAAGGAGACCTGTAGTTGCTACATTTAAGTAATCACTGAATTACAAATTGAATAATTGCTGTTAATGCATATTATTATTATTATTATAGTATGGTATGGTACCCAAGAAATTAAAAAGCATGATTTCTAGAAACTTCATGTTTCAAACTTTTATCCCTCTTTTCAACTTGTCCAGATGATTTTATTTAATTTAAAAATAATTTAAGATATTTATGTGTGTGTGTGTGTGTGTGTGTGTGTGTGTGTGTGTGTCCGAAATAAAAATTAATAGACTATTCGATAGGGCAGTTGGTGTGGTCTCTTTAAAAATTCAGTGTGATTAAAAAAGGGATTTTTTTCCCTTATTTGTATTTCTAAGTTTCTATGTGCTCCATGCTTTTATAATAAAGTAACTAAAAATACATTTTTTGTAATGTTTTTAACTATATTTCCTTGCATGACTTTTTAGCTAGAAAAAAACGAATGAACAAAGTTGTAAGATCTGTTATTGGTTCATTCTGTGGATCTGAAATCTCCTCAGATTTGTCAGCATATATTATGAGACTTTGAAAAAAATCAACATAAAGACATTAAGATTTATTTTAAAATCTCTTTTATAATGTTTCAGATATATAAGATGTTTGAGAAAAGTATTTGAAATAATGATAACTAACAGACTTTGGTATACTTTTTAATTTTTTAAATATATTTTATTTTTTTAGAGCACTTCTAGGCTCACATCCAGATTGACTGGAAATGTACAGAGAGTTCCCATATACTCTCTGTCCCCCAAATACTCACAGTCTCCCACTATAGACATCCTACACCAAAGTGATATATTTGTTATAATCCATGAAATTATAGTTACACATCATTTTTACCCAAAGTTCATGATTTACACTAGGGTTTATTCTTGGTGTTCTGTATTTTATGGGTTTGGACAAATGTGTAGTAACATGTATCCAACATTATGGTATAATAAAATTCTCTGTACTTTACCTATTCATTTCTCCCTCTCCCTTAATTGCTGGTAACCCCGATCTCTTTAGTGCCTTCATAATTTTGCCTTTTCCAGAATGACATATGGTTGGAACAATACAGTATTTAGCCTTTTCAGATAGGCTACTTTCACTTAGTAATATGTATTTAAGGTTCCTCCACATCTAGTTTACTTTGTAAAATGTTAGTATTATATTTATTTTCCTTTTCTTATTGAAGCTTTTTAACAAAGAGGATAAAAATCTGCCTGTGTATATACAATGTGGAATGCCTTTACTGTAGTTTGTAAAACTACTGAGAAATTTTTTGTAAGATATATTTGGGAACAGTGAATATAATATCCAGCTCTTCTGCTGTGACTTTTTATAATACGGGTGCCAGTAGAATTATTTCATGTAGATTATAATAACCAGGATTTAAAAATATGTTGTTTTTTTCAAAATTACAGGCTGACTGTTTGATTGAAAAACTAAGAATATGAAAATGTCAACAGTGGAAGATTTTCCTAATCTTGGCTCAACATAAACTAATATTTTCGTTCTTTTGAAGTCTAATTACAATTGTAAGGTTCATTGGGTTTTATGAGAGGCTATTACTGGCTAGCCTTAAATCTTTTCTGAATGTCTGTTTCCTGAGATATGTGATACAATTCCATGGATACTTTGTCATTGACTTCTTTATTTTAATGGTTACTTGTTTAAGGTATAAAATACTATAGATAAAATCCCATTAAAACAAATCCTGTTAATCAGGAAGGTCTATTTTTTCAAAAAGTTTAAATATTTTCATTTCTCAGTAGTCTATTATAATAGTGATTTATTTACAAAGAATAACTGGTATGGAAAGTACTTTATTGGAGCCTTTATTACTATGAAGGGGAGACAGAAATTAACTATTTCTTTACATACAAAATTTCAAAATGAAAAGTACCATACTATATAGTGACTTATGTTCTTGTTGATTGAAAGAATCGTTTTGTGTCACTTTTTACTCAGATTTCAGATGCTGGTTTTCACTTCTTGAAGCCTAACATTTTTGTGATAAATTGTTCCTGAAAGCTATAAAATATACATAAAGTAAATTCTAATGGTGGATTTATAAGAACAATTTGGCTATCCAAGAGAATTGACTGTAATGGCATTTTACCTGCAAGAACATAAATGGGGAGGAAACATAAAATGGTTATCGTAATGTGTTACAAACTGGTGGAAATTATTGTTTTATGATTTATTGTACCAAAGGAAAAGTAGAATTAAAAAGTTTTAGGCCTGGCTTTTATCATGAAGAAATCCTGATTTGAAAGTAGGAACAGATAAGCTTGGATGAGAAAATTTAATAGCTCAATGTTAGCATTACTGATACATCATTTTGTGAGACATATTTCCTTAAGGATTGTGCTGATCTACACTAATAGTGAATGTGAATAAAGAGTAAGGTACTGAAAGCTGATCCTACATTGTGTCAATGTATTGTGTCAATGCAATGTAACACCATGTGCATGAATATAGAGGAACACAAGGATTGAAGTATTGATGTTAGAAGTAGGCTGAGATGATTAGGTTTTGTTATTTTTGGCATGATATTAAACATAGTTTTAAGTAATGAAATACTTATTACAATGTTTAAACATCTGGGGTATTTAGTTAAAACATCTGAAATAAATATTCATCCATTTATCCATTTAACAAACATTTGCTGAATATTTAACATGCAATGATCAGGAAATATAGGTGAGAAAGGATAGTCTGCCTTCGCATGCTAATACAAGGGTCAGACAAAACCAGTGATTACAGCTTAGTGTGTTAGCTGCTGTAATGTTCACAGAAGAGACTGTGGAAAGGACACAATTTTGAGAGCAGGTGGGAGTGGGACAGAATATTTAAGACTCAGTGTTTGTCAGGTAGACAGTGGAAGTTTAGGCTAAGAGACCCACATGTACTGTTCCTGAGTTCTGCTTTCATTATTATTTACTTTAAAATTGAAATGAATGTTCACGGGGCTCAGTGAACATTCATACAATTGAAATGAATGAGCCTCGGTGGCTCAGTGGGTTAAGTGTCTGCCTTCGGCTCAGGTCATGATCTCAGGGTCCTAGGATTGAGCCCTGCATCAGGCTCTCTGCTCAGCAGGGAGCCTGCTTCCTCCTCTCTCTCTGTTTGCCTCTCTGCCTACTTGTGATCTCCCTCTCTCTCTCTGTTAAATAAATACATAGAGTCTTAAAAAAAAAAAAAGAAAGAAATGAATATTCACATTCTGTTTTAGTCACTGTAAGTGGAAGTAGGGGTTTGGAGCTCTCAAAATTAGATTTCCAGGCTCTTCAGCACTGCTTTGTTAAGTAGCTCACTGACCCACCTACACAGATTAGCAGTTGCAAGTTTGTAGAAATCAGCTCAGATATGACCAGCTTTGGAAAAGGAATTTTCTATATGTACAACATGTTGTACTATGTGAACTTGAAATGATATAACTGACACTATTATGATAATAACATGGAGGTATGTAAGTAATTCTCAAATGCTTTATGGACTTACTCAAATATATGATTAGCCAATTGATTTAATTTATATAGGTTTATACCCTGTCATAGTTAAGTTTTCCTTCTTTGTTGGAAAACCCTTGATCCTCACGTTCTTAGCAGCTTTTCTCATTTACTTGTAAAGATTAATAAATTACTACAATTAAAATTCACTCAGCTTTTTCAGTAGTTAAAGAGTATTTGGTAACTCAGTAGCTACCTAAAACATTAGTTCAACACAAAACCAGTTTATAACTTATCTTTAAAATGTTTAAAGTACTATCTAGAGCATTATTTTTGCATGTTATGATATTATTTGTAACTGCAGAATTGTAAAGTGATTGGTAAGTTGTGTGCTTATTTAGCTGAAAGAAAGCTAAATAAATATGGAAAAAATACTGTGTCAAGTTTTGACTCTCTGGACTTTGTGTGTGTGTATGTGTGTGTGAGAGAGAGAGATAGACTTTATTTTTTAGAGCAGTTCTGGTTCACAGAAAAATTGAACAGACAGTACAGAGATTTCCCCTATAGCCTCTCTGATTATTAACATTCCCCAGAAGAGTGGTACATTTGTTGCAGTTGATAAACCTCCACCTCCACTGAAACATCATAATTACCCAAAGTCTAGAGTTTATCTTAGGGCTTACTCTTGGTGTGGCACATTCTATGAGTTTGGGCAAATATATAATGACATGTATCTATCACTATAGTATCGTGCAGAGTATTTTCTTTTTTCTTTTTTTTTTTTTTTTAGATTTTTATTTTATTTATTTGACAGAGAGAGATCACAAGTAGATGGAGAGGCAGGCAGAGAGAGAGAGAGAGAGGGAAGCAGGCTCCCCGCTGAGCAGAGAGCCCGACGTGGGACTCGATCCCAGGACCCTGAGATCATGACCCGAGCCGAAGGCAGCGGCTTAACCCACTGAGCCACCCAGGTGCCCCTCGAGCAGAGTATTTTCACTGCCCTAAAATTCCTCTGTGCTCTGTCTGTTCATCCCTAGTCCACCAATCCCTGGCACGCAGTGATCTTTTTACTGTCTGTGTAGTTTTGCCTTTCCCAGAATATCATATAATTGGAATCACACAGTATGTAGCTTTTTCAGATGGGTTTCTTTCACTTAGTGATATTCATTTAAGTTTTCTCTGTCTTTTCATGGTGTGATAGCTCATCTCTTTTTAGTGCTAAATAATATTCTGTTGTCTATATATATTACAGTTTATCCATTCACCTACTGAAAGATACTTTGATTGCTTCCATGTTTTGCCAACTATGAATAAAGCTGCTGTAAACACCCATATGCAAGTTTTTGTGTGGACATAAATTTTCAGTCCCTTCAGTAATTCCAACATGTAGCCAAGTTTAAGAATCTGTGCCCTGTAGGATTGAGTAAAACTCCTCCAATGGCCCAGTTAAAGTAGTTCTCAGGAAGATGCCTTTTATGGGACTTGAGACCATTTATTTTATATGTAATAATTTTTCCTCTCAGAAGCAAGTAAGATCAAGAGATGGTGATTACTGGAAATTGTGCTTAAATAAGGATCTGTGGGTCCCTTCCTAGAAGGTAAGTTGCACACTTAACTTTGGGACTGTTAATACTTACATATTGCCAAGAGCCTTCCTTTGTTTAGAAATCATGTTTGCTATTTACATTTTAGGAAGGAAAGAAGAAAGGGAGAGAAGGAAAGTGGGAAGCAGGGAAGGAGGAAGGACAAAGACCTGGCTCAAATGTGGCAAATGCATTGTGAACTTACATCACTTCTGGTTCACAAGTTCTGCCCAAGCGAAGTAATAAATGGGGTTCCATTCAAAAATGTGCAAAGCCATGTAAGCTACAAATCTGAAGCCTGGAACAGAGTGGATGATATACAGGTCTTCCTTGGCCTCGTATTTGGAGTGGAATAAAAGTAGAGTGAAACATTTTTTGGTATCTTATGATCTCAATCTCATTGCCATCAAAAGAATTAAATTAAGTACCCGCCCAAGGAGAGAAGTCATTCCTAATTTTGGTAGGCCCTAGGTTAGGCTCCTTTCAGTTTCTATTTCAGTCGGTTGCTAAGATACAGTAAGAGTTGTTCTCTGGCCTAACTCAATCAGGCTGCCATCTTACATCTGTCTGGAAATGTATAGCTTTTGATTATTTGAATTGTGGCAGCATTAGAGTTTAAGGATGGCCAGGACACAAGGCTGAATCTCCAGCCCATTTTCCTTCACATTTTTTCTATGCACAGAACCTACTTCACAGGTAGCAAATTAGTAGGTCTAGTTTACAACTAGTATTTCAGGTTTGTTTGGGAGATTTTTTGATCAGAGGACAAGCTCTACTTTTCTCTACTTCTGGAAATCTTGAGTCGTATTTAAATCAACTGCAGCTGCTTAATTTTGAACTGGTACCTTGTCCCAATTTGTTCAAGTTTGTTTCCCAAGAGCACCCAGTGTTTGTCCTCTCTTCTTCTCTTCCTTGATTATCTTCATTTAGATTGAGGATACTGGAGACCCTTCTGGCATTTCATGAAATTAGAACTCAGTCAAGAATACTTCACCATAGGGGCACCTGGGTGGCTCAGTGGGTTAAAGCCTCTGCCTTCAGCTCAGATCATGATCCCAGGACCCTGGGATCGAGCCCCGCATAGGGCTCTCTGCTCAGCAGGGACCCTGCTTCCTCCTCTATCTCTGCCTGCCTCTCTGCCTACTTGTGATCTCTGTCAAATAAATAAATAAAATCTTTTAAAAAAAAAAAAGAATACTTCACCATAGTCCCTGTAGTTGTTATATAACTCGTTCCAACAAAATTTTATTCTCTAAACTGTCCAAAAACCTCGTGTTTTTTACTTATTGGAAAAATTTTCTAGTCTTGGGACACTTGGGTGGCTCAGTTGGTTAAGCATCTGCCTTTGGCTTAGGTCATGATCCCAGGATCCTGGGATTGAGTCCACACTGGTTTCCTTGCTCAGTGGGGAGCCTGCTTCTCCTTCTGCCTGCTGCTCCCCCTGCTTGTGTGCTCTCTCTCTGACAAAATCTTTAAAAATATCTTCTAGTCTTAATACATATGCAGAGAAGTTTCCTACCCCTCACTGGTGCACAAATGTCTATGGTTCTCTGTGATACCCAACCCATTGACAAATGTTAGATGCTCAGCCTGAGACAGAGGTACAGACAGTTTTAACATTACACATGACTTCTACTGTTGGGACCTCTTAACTCTCTACTCATTTCCTTTCTTCACTGACTCTGCCCTAATAGTCTCAACAGTATAGGGGCCTCTTATAACCAGAACTCAAGATTTTCCTTATTTTGGATCCTAACTATCTAGGAATGATTCTAGTTTTCAGTCATCATCAGGCTAGACCAGAGACTCAAAAGCTTGAAAAATAGTAATCTCACAGGAGGAGCAAAGTTTCTACGAAGTCTGCCGTGGTAGCTGAAGCATGGATGCAGCTTTGGATCAGTTCTCAAAAGACGGACTATGAACTTTCTTCCTCCTTCCAGTAAATTAAAAAAAACAAAAACAATTGCCAGTCTCTAGATCTTAGTTTAAACATCAAAGCCATACCTCTTGCAGCTCCTTAAGGACTTTAGTAAGCTCAAGAACATGGAACAGCTCTGGTGTGACTTCTTCAAATTTTAATTGATCTCACAAGTAGTTCCACACTAATCCTAATGGCCCAGCCTGTGCAGGGTTAATTTCTACTTCCCCGGATCATGTATCCAATGGTTTGAGATTCTTGGTGTATGTGATCTGCTCATTTCTAGAGTGGAGAATTAGTAGGGATTTAGTCATGAACCTTAGCTTTAAGGAAATAAAGGAAGTTCATGGGAAAAATCAGTGAACCTTGAATTTGTCTGGGTTCTCCTAGGCTGTGTATTCTTATTTGCTGTCTCTGCACAGCATCCTACTAATCCAGGCATGAAAATCAGCATCTCTATGATAGCCCCTAAAAAATTGCCCGAATAAAATTTAATGTTTGGTAATTTTGACAAACTTTGGGGATGGGGCATATCAAGCACTGCACATCATTCCCCTAATATTTCATTGGTTCTCTGTCCCACCTTGACCTCTTGTGTCTCATACTTTTATCCCTTTTCTGAAACCTTGGGGCCAAGAAAAATCTGTACTCCTCAGAGACTCATTTTATTGTTTATCTTAAGTGGACTTATCAAGAGTTTTCCTAACAAAGACAGATTGCTTGTTAAGAGAAATTTTCATACTTCTATTTTTTAAGGAGAAGTCTCCTTTAATTCCATTTATTGGCCCCATACAATATGCCAGGTGTTATATTAAACACTTTCTGTACATTATTCTACTTAATCCTAACAATCCCTCGAGGGAGACAGTATTACTCCATTTTAGATAAAACTGCTGTTAAAGGAACCTAAGAAATTTGCTTAAGAGCATATAGATCGTAAATAGTGGGACTGAGATTTGAACCTAAGATGGATATCACAGCTTATGTTCTTAATCACCACTATGAAGTACGGAGTATGTTCCCAGCACGTGGTGCTTGTAATATGTAGTACTCTTGTACTTTGTGCAATATTATGATGGGATGCAAAAGAAACTGCTCTCAATAAGGCAAAAGCAATAATGCATATACATAGACTATGAAAATTTTAAAAATTTACGGTATGCTACTACTTATTTTATGTGCTATGAAACCTGTGCCAGTGTGAATATTTAGAAGCAATTTCCATCAGTTTTATTTTTTAAAGATTTTATTTATTTGATAGAGAGAGACAGCAAGAGAGGGCACACAAAAGGGTGGAGTGGAAGGGGGAGAAGCAGGCTTCCCGCAGAGCAGGAGCGCAATGGGAGCTCGATTGCAGAACCCTGGGATCATGACCTGACCCCAAGGCAGAGGCTTAAGGACCAAGCCATCCAGGCGCCCCTCCATCACTGTTTTAATATAGAGTTGGCTGTGGACTGTGCCTGAGCCTCACATCACAACCTTCTAATTATTGAGTAAATTATTGAGGACGACATTTTGTTTTCTATGAGGTATAGAATGAACCGTAAGAGATTACCTAGGTCAACAGCTTATTCCAACTGCCTTAGGGGGCATGTACCCTTGAAAAGATATTGCAAAAATACAAAAAGGATTTTAAATATTAGATGAGTGGGCCAGGTCCTCCAAGCTTGAAGTCGATAGAGAAGTCTATATGGAAAAGGTGAAATTCCAGTCCAGTTTTGAAGAATTAAGATTTGAAGCGTTCCTAGAGGAAGCTGAAGTACGTTCCTGGTCGGAGGACCAATGCGAACTTATTTTAGCACAACCTGCTGCTCAACACAGCAGTTACCCACACCGGCTCCTCATACTTCGGCATTTCAACCAGAAAGTACCTCCCGGCGGGCGTTGCCCCTCCAGGCTCAATGTATCCGCGCAAGGAACCCCGAGACAGGGTCCACCCCGCCCAGCTTCCGCTTCCGGCTCTTCAGGCTCCGCCTCAGCGGAAAAGGCGGTGTGCGGGAGGGGGCAGAGAGGTGGGAAACTGAACGCATCGCGCAGGCGCACCGTGGGCGACAGCAATGGCGATGTCGTGCCCATTGAATAGGTATCTGCTGCTCATGGCGCAAGAGCACCTGGAGTTCCGCTTGCCGGTGAGTCCGCAGCGCCCTCCACAACTTCTTGACGGGAGAGGACGGCACAGTGGGGGTTGGTGTGCGGGCGGCGGAGATCTCAGCTTGAGCAAACAGGGATCCGGGGGTGTTTGCTTGTCGGAGGTATCACGCGTCCCTGGTCCCTCGGACCCTGGGAAGGATCCTAGCTCGGCGGAGGGTGTGTGAGAGAGAAGTCCAAGACAGACTCTCACAGATTTGCCAAGCATTTTCATTCATTCTTCTGCCCATGCGTCAAGTATTGGAGTTAGGCCGGTGGATATGACCCGTTGTCTCGCTCCAGGAGCTCTTCTCCCAGCAGAGAATAGAGTCAGCTGACGGAACTGCTCAGTGCAGTGTTTTAAGTGGCACATATGCAGGTCAAAGCCCGTGGAGGAGGGTGGGATTTCTGGAGGTGGTGGTTGGTGGCAGGGGTTAGATGATGGAGAAGTTGGGGAAAGTGTTTCATTCATTCCAGAACATTTTCAGAGTGCTTGTAATTGCATGTGCTGGGCGCTGGGGATATGGAAATGGTAAAGACGGTTTCTGTCTTCAAGGAGCTTACTGTTTAGGCTAAGGTCCGAGCAGATGTATGAACATTTTAAGAAATAACATTTGTAAGTGCAGTGGTAGATATGTAGGGCGATACGAGAGCGTAGAAGAGGAATCTGATCGAGTGGGGCATGTTGGCCTTTAAGAGGGCATGCATGAGGATATGACACTTCAACAATAACTAAAGTATGAGTAGGAGTTAGCCAGGCCAAGGATAAATAAATTAGAATTACAATTCAGTATTGAAATATGAAATATTGTAGCTGAGAGTGACAGAAAAAAAAGAGCAGGAGTTGTAGATAGGGGCCAGAAAATGCAAAGCCTTGAGTACGCTGGAAGGGAAGAGAAAATTTATTTGCTTGTAAGGGAAATTTACTGAAGAGTTTTGAGCAAAGAAGATTTTTTAAGAAAAAATCACTTTGGCAGCAATAATGAGGACAGATTTGAGAGGAATAAGTCTGGAAGCAGAGACCAGTTAGGAGCCTGTTGAAATAGTTTTGTTAGTAGAATAAGAGGCCTGAATTAAGGCAGGGGTAAAAGCATGGGATAGATGGAACATACTTAGGTGATGAAATCATCGTCATTTGATGATTGAATATGGGGGGGACAGGGGCCAGTCAAGGATGACTCCTGGGTTGCATCTCCACTTAAAATGTAGAACACAGGCAGATGAAAGATTTAAATTTTGGTTATGCTGAATTTGATGTGTTTCTGTAATATCAAGTGGAGATGACCAGGGATGGCGGGGGGAGGGGCATTGAATTTAGGACTATGCATGGAGTACAATAGAGTGGTGTGGACTGGTAGTAGATGTTTGGAAGCTTCTGCATATGAACATCAGGGGAGGAAGTGAAATTATTCATAGAAGGCATAATGTTGACAGAGTGGGGGGCCAAATACAGGAGCTTGGAAGTATTGATAGTGGGGGGAAATGAGAAAAGAGGCGGTAATGAAGAGGTTTGGCAGGTGTCAGAATAGAAAGACTTTGCGGGCACAGAAATCAGGAGGGTAAAGTTCTAGGAATTTTGCTAATACTGTTGTGTAGAGTTTTGGAGTGGGGTGGTGAGCTAGATTGCTTGATTTAATGGTCACTGGAAAATGAGGAAGGGGAGATAGACTGCTCTTAACTAGAGCGTAAGAAGGGAAAGTTGAGATTGGTTAACAGTTTGAGGAAGGCCTAGGGTTAAGCAGAGTTCACAGGCTGAACAGGGGAGAATGGATATAGGGGCACAGTGGGAGGTGTTGGCCTTTCACTAGAAGGAGGGAGTGGGCAAGGAGAGTTAAGCTGGAAATGCGGTAGCTGCCTGAGGGTCTGTTTTCTAGGTTATGCATGAGTCAAGGTTGTTTCTTGAGAGATCAGGGACCAAGCAGTTGAGTGGAGACATTGGGGAAAAATAGTTAAATTTGAAATAGTCATTGAGAGTAAAAGAGGGAGTTGACAAGTTAAACATTGAGAACACAGGTATTAGAGCAATGCTGGAAATCCAGCTAGGGCGATGATCATGTCTTTGTAATTGTGCTGAGATTCTCTAGTTTTCTTCAGTTGTGTGCGATTCACTGGCCTTAGGAGCAGTGAAGGAAGACTGTGGCATTGATTCAGGATTAATGTTTTGCTGAGCAGGTGCACTGGCAAGATAGTGGCATAAAGGCATAGAATTTCATGGAGGAGGTAATATTTTAATAGATCTTAATTGATGAAGAGCTATTTTGTGGATAAAGAGGATTGGAAAGCACACTTCAGTAAGAAACAAAAACAAGTGGAAGGAGTTGATTATGGTGGTTTGGGGTGTGGGATGTGGGGAGTGAGGATGAAGTAATGGGCAGTGGGGGTAGAGAGGTGGGTAGGATCCAGAGTTTGGAATGTTTTGAAACCATTGCAAGGAATTGGTATTTTATTTTAGATTTAACGGGGGAGCCATTGACTCTTTAAGCCAGGAAGTGACAATTTTTTTTCTTTCTAAACCAGTAAGTGACTAGTAATCATTTGTGTTTTAGAAGGAGAATTGTGGAGCACCAGAGAAGGAATACTGGAGTGGAAAAAGAGGCCAAGGAGGTTGTGTGCCTTAGTCCAGCAATGCAGTGAGAATGGAGTGGTTAGGCTGCAGTCTTCAAAATAGCATCCCTAGTACTTGGACATTTTACCTGTTTCTTTGTCTTAAATTATTCTTAGCGTCTTATCCTGGTGTCAGTTTAATCTCCCAAAAAGCTCATTTCTCTTTTTAAAATTAATTAATTAATTAATTTGACAGAAATCATAAGTAGGCAGAGAGGCAGGCAGAAGAGGGGTTGGGGAATGGGGAGCAGACTCCCTGCTGAGCAGAGAGCTAGATGCAGGGCTTGATCCCAGGACTCTGGGATCATGACCTGAGCCGAAGGCAGAGGCCCAACCCACTGAGCCACCCAGATGCCCCTCATTTCTCTTTTCCACCCTCATTGTCCCAAGGCTGAAACTTCCTAGTCTGGCATTAGCCCACTGTTGCATGTCCTTTGTCTCCCCCCACTCCCACCTCAGTGCAGCCAAGAGAGAATCCCCATCATTCCCTGAATGATGCTCTCAGTTTTCATGCTTTGGCCTGTGCTTCCTTTTGTCTAGTTGGGTCTTCCCTATTTCAGTCTTCAATCTATTGATTTTATGTAGTCAATCTTCATTGAGATTTACCCACATATTTATTTTAGGTTTATTTTTTTACTTGATTTCTTTTTCAACTCTGCAGTTTCCTTTTTAATAGATTTTTAGTTTTTGCCTAAATTCTTAATTAGGTCTTTTATCCCCTTGAATATAAAAAGCACAGTTATGTTAAGTCTGACAAACTATAGAAAACACATATTAAATATGATAAAAGTAGTCCTGTGGGCCCGTTGCTTCTGTGTACTGTTTCTCTTGGTTCTTTTTCATATGTGTGCTGGCTTATTTTTTAAATCTGCACTAGATATATTTGGAAAGTTATCTGAAGAAATAACATGAGGCCTAGGATGATGTAAATCCTCCTGAAGTAGAAGCATTAATGATCTAGGATATCTTAAACTCATTTCCAGGTATTAAGTTTTGTTTCTATTCTGATTTATACATGTTCCTCTGGTATGTAGCTTTTGGAGATCCTAGTCCAAACTGGGTGGTCTATCAAGCTATCTTTCTTTTCTATGGATGGCACAATATTCTTTTTGTTCTACTGGCTCCATGAAGCTGTCAAAAGGACCATCTAGCTCCACAGCTGCTTTTGGAATTGGTCAATGTCCTGGGAAGCAAGTGGCTGCACCTTGGGATTTCTGGCTTCTCCTGAAGTTTAGTTTGGTAATTCTTGTAATTGCTCCATGCATCCAAGCAGATGCCAGGTTTTTCTAGTTCTTCTCAGCAAAAGGCTTAATCTGAATTACCTAGTTTGCCATAGCTAGAAGGGGAAGTCCTCTTTCGTCTGTGCAGATTCTCTCTGTATTCCAGGGCTTAAGTCAGTTTCCATGAAAACTTTTCTTCTGAAACTTAAGTGATCTTTTCTCCTTTGAACTCTAATGTAAAAGAGTTAATGGAGCTAATACCTTTTTGATTTTACTTTTTTAAGAGCACTCACTGTTTTACAGCTCACATTTCAATTAACTAAGTTGAATGTTCTATTAGACCATAAGCTCCCTGAAGATAAATATGTATTTATCTTTACATAGCTCAGTGCCTTGTACATATTAGTTTCATAGTAAGTATTGAGTGAGAGGATCCCTTTGAGAAAGGCAATCAAGAGGACAGTCTACACTTTTGAGTACATCTGTTGTTTTAGAACTGCTAAGCAGAAAAAGAATGAGTAGTTGCATTTATGATTTAAAATGAGAGATTAGGAATATAATGTGGCCCTGTTTTACCTTTGTAGAGTTAATCAAGGCCCGTTTTAGTTGGCGCCTGCCTTTTTGTACTAGAGTTCAGACACCTGGGTTTTATTGTTGGCTCTGAAACAAACTAAATGCATGAAAAAGTGAGTGGCTAAAAGAACTGAAAAGCTCATGTGAATTAATGCATGAGACATGCCCCAGATCATGCTGCATTTTTAGATCCAGTAAATTCTTTTGTTCCTAATATAGGAAGATTCTCAACTAGAAAGTGAATTTGCTGTAAGAGCAAAGATTTTGTGTTTTGCTTTTTCCAGGTAAATTGATGGCATAATATAATACAAGTTTTTCTCATAAATTTAAAACTTGGGTTATCACATTTATTTTAAATTTTAAAACGTTGCTTAAGTTTGGGATAGTGGAGCTAATACTATGCTATAAGACTTGAATAATCCTTTGCCTTTTTTTTTTTAAGCTCATAGAGCCTTTGTGGTTTGTTTTGGCCTGTTCCTAATTTTTAACAAGGTATCTCAGGACCAGCAAATTTTGCAGTCAGATGCTCTGCCACTGAGCTTTACCCCTGGAGCAGCAAATGTTGATGTTTTAAATGTGAAGCTGGGAATGAACAGTAATATTCTAGGCCAAAGTAACTTAATCTATAACTTCATTTTTTTTTGTTTTAAGAATGATATGTTGGTCAGTCTTGCTTGATTTCTTGAGCCACTGGACTTCAGGTTCATCATCCTCTTGATTCCTTTACTTAACACCCTAGGTTTTGTGCCCTGTTATCACAGACCTCTTTCCTTCATGAGGTAGCTATGATTCCTGTTTTCCAGATGAGAGAAGTGCCTTGTATAAAACCACATGGCCACTATTTGGAAGAGGTGAAAGTAAAATTGTGATTCATCTAATTCCCAAGTCCCATGATGCCTTCTATTTAAATATATGTCATGTGTGTTTCAAAATGACTTTGGGGTTACCTTCAGTATTTACTGATAGACTATGCAAGTTCTTGCTTTGTTCATATAATTCAACTGAATTTAGCCCCTTGTAAATCCAGGGATTAAAGAAAAAAAAATTTGTTGCATAGTCAAAAGGAAAAATAGAAAAAGTATGAATTGCTCAAACCTTCTATTCCTTTTGGTCTTGACGTAGAGAATGTGGTGGTCTGGGTATACTGTCTCATGGTGGCTGTGGCTCATGATGAGCTTGGTGTTAAAGGCCGCTTCTCCTAGTTGGGATGAAAGGGGACTGTAGGCACCCAGCAGAGAGGATGCATCTCTGATTGAGTTACCTCCTCCGTGAGACCTACAGAGAGGTGTGGGATTCTACCTGCTTTATGGTAGAGCTCTAAGACTAAATTTGTTAGAATGTTATTTGAGGAGACTTTATTTGTTAGTATATATTGTAAAATTTATATAGTCATCTTTTTTTTTTTTTAAAGATTTTATTTATTTATTTGACAGAGAGAGATCACAAGTAGACAGAGAGGCAGGCAGAGAGAGAGAGAGAGAGAGAGAGAGAGAGAGAGAGAGGGAAGCAGGCTCCCTGCTGAGCAGAGAGCCCGATGCGGGACTCGATCCCAGGACCCTGAGATCATGACCTGAGCCGAAGGCAGCGGCTTAACCCACTGAGCCACCCAGGCGCCCCTATATAGTCATCTTGTATTTATCAGTGCAAAGTGATTGTTTCACAGAATGTAGTATTATCTGAACATATTTCAACTTTGCATTCCCGATGTTTTTAAAGTAGCTATTGTGTTCTCTTTCTAGTTCTGTAACTTGAGCCAGAAAGAAGAGGCTAACTTACTGTAACTTCTGTTTAGTGAATCAACAGTGATGCTCTCTGGTTAATCACTTATTTCTTGTCTAAATATCCTCAGCTTATCTGTTTAATAATTCATTTATTTTTATTGATCAGTTGTCAGTTTTACTTGCCCATAGTTTTATCATCTGGTTTTTTCCAAAATCAGGGCATTTTCTGAGCGAGTCTTTTGGCAGCCTTCTTGTTATGTAAAATTTCTCAGAAATTACTTAACTGTGGTTGTGACTGTAAAATTTTTTCAGAACATAGAGTTGTAATTTGCCTGGTGCTGAAATTTAAATGCCCCAGGTAGTCACTTAACCACTCTTAAAAAAATCTTACTATACCTATATCTGTTAATAGACTTCGAGTTCCCTGTGTTAAAATGTATTCTTTCTATAATATTTTCAATGTAGGAAATAAAGTCTTTGCTTTCACTTTTTGGAGGTCAGTTCATCAGTAGTCAGGAAACTTATGGAAAGGTAAGTTGAATTTATATTTTTCATTAGACCATGTGCAGTATATTTATAAGAATCTTGGGTTTGAAGAGAAGAACTGCAAACATTTATATTTATATAGCTACTTGTTTCTGTTTCTAGGGGCAATTGAATAAAAAGGATATTTTTGGAAAAAGTTGTGGTTTTGGAACGTCATTTAAGTTTATTTCCAGTATTCATTTAGTTTACTCGTTTTTAATTTTTAACTCAACACTTGTACTGTATCTTTGGTATCTTAGTTGAAAAAAAAGGACAGCTTTCTGTTGATGAGGTATGATTAAAATTAGAATTTAGAATTTAGCGGAATTTCAGATTTAATTTGGGAATTATTTAAACATTTGAAATTATGCATGTATAAGATTGTGAATTTATGAGCTTTATATTTTGTATTTGATAGTTTATCAGTGTATTAGAGAAGTTTGGGAAATAAAAAAAGTCATTCCTGGGCACCTGGGTGGCTCAGGGGGTTAAAGCCTCTGCCTTGGGCTCAGGTCATGATCCCAGAGTCCTGGGATTGAGCCCTGCATCAGGCTCTCTGCTCAGCAGGGAGCCTGCTGCCTCCCCTCTCTCTCTGCCTGCCTCTCTGCCTACTTGTGATCTCTGTCTGTCAAATAAATAAATAATCTTAAAAAAGAAAAAAAAAGTCATTCCTAATTCTTCTTCCTTCATGTGACTTATAATTTGAGGGTAGGGCCTTCCAGTCTTTTTTTTTTTTTTTTTTTTT